AGTCTGCTGCCAATAAGCGCCGGTGTGACTTCAGCCCCCGCATTTGTGGACCGGAGAACATCACCCGAGAGCGCCGGCACGACTTCCCTGGCCCCCCACACCTGAGGACCAGAGAACCTCACCCAAGAGTGTGTGCATATTTGCAATAAAAGACTGCCACTTTCTTACGTACTTTGGCCTCATGTTTAATTACTTAGCTCTCCTAAATTAAGTTACATTAAGTTAAATTAAAACAGTTGGTGCCAAAACCCGACCCAGGAGGAGACCCTTCCTCAACATCCCCTAAGGGTCTAACGAACCTCCTCCACAGCAAACCGGCTCCCAACCCAACCAGCCACGAACACCGAACAAGTGTTCCAGCTTTCCACTGGTGCCGCTCTGAGAATTTCTTCTTTGCTGAGTACTCCCCTTTGTTAACCATCTCCATCTGTTTCCATGTCCTTGGCCTAGAGTCGTACATATGCCCAAGGACATAGCCACCCTGTGGCGCAGTGAGGTCTTCAACTTGGAGACGTCCATGTTGAAGTTCCTCAATTCTCCGTTAGTGGCTCCAGGAGCCCCTGGTCTCCAGCAGCGGCAAAGGACGCTTTGCCACTGCATGAGGTCGGTTTCCATTTCTGGTGGTTAAACAATGGGATCCTCACAATCGAAAATCCCTACGAACATCCCTTTATGGTGTCCTCTCCAAAACTTAGAAGCCTTACATTTAACTCAAGATTTAAAACGAAAGCGGCTAATTTTCCTCTCCACTGTGGCATGCCAAAAACCCAGGAAGAGACCCCTCCTCAGGGCCCCCTAAGGTCCAAGGAGCCTCCTCCTTCCATGCCACGGATGGACCAGGACCTAGACATCGCTTTCCACACCTCCAAGTCTCCTAGAGGTGAGTATCTCTTGCCTCCCTCTCATACTCCTTGGCCAGAAGTCCTGCGCAGGCCCAAGGTTTTTAGGTCACCAGGTGACCCACAGGAGAGTTCCCAAAGGTAGAGACGTCTGCCCAAAGGAACTCCATTCCAGTCCGTGTGGGACCCGTCTAGGACGGAGACATCTGCCTGGAGGTAATCTCCATTCCGGCTCCAGGAGCCTCCTGGTCTCTAGTGGCTCCAAAGGACGCTTTGTAGCCAGGTAGAGTTCGGTTTTCGCCTATAGGCGAGAGAAAGGCAATAGGAAATCCCCAATCCAAAATACCTAGAGACACCCCTTTAGGGTGTCTTCTAACTAATCTCAAAACTTTACAATTAGAGTAAGATCTTAAACGAAAGCGACTGATTTTACTCTCCACTGTGGCGTGGCCACAATATAAATTAGACAACCAGTCTCAATGGCTGCCTGAAGGCACCTTAGACCGTAACATTTTAATTAGATCTCCCTAATTTCTGCCAGAGGCTCGGAAAGTGGTCAGAAATTACCTATGTTCAAGGCTTTTAGGACTTGCGCTCTTGCCCAGACCTGTGCGCCCAATGTTAAATGGCCCAGGTCTTGTTAGCCTAAACCCCTAAACCCGGCCCTTGGCCCCCACCTCAGCAACTGAGGAGGACTCCACCTCCGTTTCAGATGGGGCCGACGGCAGGCGACCTTCCTCCCGACTTTCCAACCCCCCTCCCTATGGACTTCCTACCGCCTCTCCCGACGCTCCTCCTTCAGCCACTCCTCTCACCCCTCCCTATGGAGCTCCCACCTCCCCGCCCGACACTCCTCCCTCAGCCACTCCTCTTACCTCTCCCATTTCCACCCACACTCGCTCCAAGACCGTGGTAGCGGCCCCCATTAGTCAGCCCTCTACCAGTCAGCCTGCCCCAACCCCCTCTAACAGTCAGCCTGTCTTAACCTACCCTATTGGTCAGTCTGTTCCAACCTCCCCTGCTAGTTTGTTGGCCCCCCTGCCGAGAAGTTGCCAGAGCCGAAGGCGTGGTTGGAGTCCACGTCCCCTTTTCCCTGGCTGACCTTTCCAAAATTGAACGACTTGGCGACTTCTCAGCCAACCCCACCTAATATTCCAAAGAGTTTCGATACCTAGGCCAGAGCATATAACCTTACCTGGCATGACTTACATGTCATTCTTACTTCCACTCTTAACCCAGAGGAAAGAGAGTGCATTCTCGCAGCCGCCAGGCAACATGCAGATCAATGGCATTTAACCGACGCCACCGTCCTGTTAGGAGAGATGGCTGTCCCGTCCATAGAACCAGATTGAGATTACCAACCGCAGCAGCCTGGCCGCCGTAGGAAGGACATTATGATTCAATGTCTCTTAGCCGGTATGCAGGCAGCCTCTAACAAAGTGGTCAATTTTGATAAATTAAAGGAAATTATCCAACACCCAGATGAGAACCCGGCTTCCTTCCTAAATCGCCTTACAGAGGCACTGGCCCAATTTACCCAGCTAGCCCACTTCCCCAGCCGGGGCAGCTGTCCTAGCCTCCTATTTTATTTCCCAGTCAGCCTCAGATATTCGAAAAAAGCAAAAAAAGGTTGAAGATGGGCCTCAGACCCCCATACAGGAAAATTGGCCTTTAAAGTTTTTAACTCCAGAGAAGAAGCAGCTGAGGCCGCAGAGCTAGACAAGGAGAAAAGAAGGGCTGTGCTTCAGGTGCAAGCTCTAGTGGCTGCCCTCCAACCAGCGTTGCCCACTCTGCCAGCAGGGAAGACACAGGGCAAGTCTCCCAAGGGCTCCTGCTATAAATGCGGAGACCCAGGACACTAGGCAAACCAGTGTCCCCAGGCCAAGCCGGCCACTCCATCTCATCCATGCCTTAAGTGTGGCACAACTGGGCATTAGGCAAAACAGTGTCCAAATCCTCACCTGCCTACCACGCTATGCCCAACCTGCCAACAGGAAGGACATTGGAAGTCTGATTGCCCCGCCAGCAGGGCAGGCATTGCGCCTCAACGTGGTGCCTCTCCTCAAAGGCCGGAAGGCTCCTTCCAGCTCCTACACCTGGACGACGACTGAACGGTGCCCATACTCGGAGACCCTGGTCACCCTCGCCGAGCCTAGGGTAACTCTACAGATAGCGGGTAAGCCCATTTCTTTTCTCATCAATACGGAGGCTACCTATTCTGTTTTGTCAACCTATGGAGGTCCTGGCCAGCCATCCACTATCTCAGTAGTTAGGGTAGATGGTAAACCGTCTAACCCTCGCCAGACCCCAATGTTAAATTACTGCCTGGACTATGCATGCTTTGCCCACTCTTTCCTCATCATGCCCTCTTGTCCCACCCCCTCTTGGGATGAGACATGTTAACCTAACTCAAAACATCTATTCCCCTTCCCTTTCTCCAGGTGACCAGGTTCTACTCAAGGATCAACACCCTCCTCAAATTTTCCCACTTCCTCACCATTCTTCATCTTAACTTAACTGACTTTTCCCTCATAAACCCCATAGACACCCTCCTTCCCGACCCATCCCCCAACCAGTAGGTTTCCCAACTTTTTACTCTCATAGAAGACCTAGCTTGGCAAGGTGCCCTTTGTTATTTCCTAATTCCCATACTAATCTTCTGCCTTGCCTTGTATTTTGCTCCCATTTTAATAAAATTTCTCCGAGCCAGGGTCCAAGAGATCACCCGAGTCACCTTCAACCAAATGCTCCTGCATCCCTACACCCAACTGCCAACCTCAGACCCTAACTATGCCCCCTAACAGCAGGAAGCAGCCAGACAGACAACGGTGCCCCAAATTCTTATAATCAATAAGAGGTTGGACTGTTTGGGTGAGGGAGAAAGGATAAGATGGAGGAAGGTGAACAAGAAGGCACAATCCATGTTGCTTCTGGGTTCTTCCTCACCAACTTTCACGTGCGCGGGAAAATGCAGCCCACCCCAGGAAGATGCAGATCAATCGAGCATGTGCCAGGTGATGTCAATCTGAAGAGATCGAAACTTATCTGGCCACGCCTATGGAGACGCCCTTATCATGCCCTTATCCCGCCCACTGCCCTCCCCCTTCCAGTACCAATGCATAAAAGTCTGCTGCTGGTAAGTGCTGGTGTGACTTCTTCAGCCCCCGCATTTGTGGACCGGAGAACATCACCCGAGAGCGCCGGCACGACTTCCCTGGCCCCCAACACCTGAGGACCAGAGAACCTCGCCTGAGAGTGTGTGCATATTTGCAATAAAAGACTGCCACTGTCTTACGTACTTTGGCCTCATGTTTAATTACTTAGCTCTCCTAAATTAAGTTACATTAAATTAAATTAAAACACCTTCCTTCTTCCACATGGAGGTTTTTCCATATTTGTACATCAGGAGCTTCCTCTTTCTTTGTTACCACATTAAATTCCACGGGGTAGATGTACCATAATTTAACTGGGTCCTTATTGAAAGACAATTGAGCTGTCTCCTAGACAAAGCCTTGTGCACCTTCCCTAACAGAGGGTCTAACCAAGCAGGCAGGATGGGATTATAAAGTAGGTGGGGAGGTGGGAGAGACTCCATCTTCCCAGGTGGGCTGAGAACAGAGGTAAGGCCCTGCAACAGGACGGAGGGAAAAGTGGGGATGAGAGATGGGAGGTGAGATAGCACCTCTCCATCTCCTGGGAGGCTGGGCTCTCTGCTGTCTTTGCCTCCACTGGCCAATCACCATCTGTTCTTGCTCAGCCCCCTCCTCCATTTGCCACTGACCTGTTGGCCTCCCCCAACCTCTGAGCCTGCTTCTGCCTGGGTAATTTCCCAAGACCCAGGAGGGGTGAGTGGTGAGGTGTGATTGCCCCCATCCCTTTGCCTCCCACAGCATCTGCTCTGGGACCATGAACAATAGCTGACAGCTCCATGGCCTTTGCTGTCCCCATCTCAGCTTCCCTGGGCATCTAAACCTCAGCTGCCCTGGGGTAAGAGGACGGGCTGAGGAAGCAGAAGCCTGAGGCTGTCTAGAGTCTCACTCCTGCATCAGCAGGCCACCACCTGTGTTTCCTCCTCGTGAAAATTTGAGAGGAATTGTATAAAACACTGGAGAAATGCAAGAGGGGAAGTCCGCAAGGGCGATGGTTCCCTCTATGATCATAGAGCAAGCTGGTGTCAGAGTCTGGACCTAGAGCACTGTTGCATGGGAAGCAGGAGGAGGGTCCTGCCTCCAGGCCGGGGAAGGGCTCCCTCTCACCTCTACACACCCTGCATTTCTTGGCTCAGCTGCCCTGTGGTGGATGCAGGGTGGGGAGGGCAGAGATCTGGGCTTGAGAGGGAGACAGTACACACTCTCGTGGCTGCTGCCCCTCCCTCAGGCCTTGTCCACCTCTGACTGTGGCTCTCTGGCAGGAATAGATGGCCTGGCAGATGATGCAGCTGCTGCTTCTGGCTTTGGTGACCACTGTGGGGAGTGTCCAGCCCAGGAGTGCGCAGGCCAGGACGGACCTGCTCAACGTCTGCATGAACGCCAAGCAGCACAAGGCACAGCCCAGTCCCGAGGACGAGCTGTATGGCCAGGTGAGGATAAAGTGGGGTCTGCGGCAGGGGAGACAGCTGCCTTTGACAGAGAAAAGTTAATGGGGTGGAGAAGTCAGCTGTGGAAGGTGATGAAGGAATGAAGATGGCTGCTGTGATCCTGGAGGGCCTCCCCTGGGAGGTCACCAAGTCTACAGTAATGAAGGAATCACATACCTAACACTCACTCTGAGCCTATGAGCCATGTGCTTTCACTCAGGCCATGTCAGTGAATATGCCCAAAGGGCAGGGTGGGTGCACTGTGGTCTGTACTTATGCAAATGAGGAAATAGGCCTACAGAGGGTACAGGTGCAAGTGGAAACTGAGGAGAGGGATTGGCCATACCTTTCCCAGCCTTAATTATGTGCCAGCCCACAGAGCTCAGCAGCACAGTAGAAGAGGAGCTGGGCCATCATGGTCATGGTGCAGCCTTCATGTACAAACGGGCCAGGTTTCCACCCCCATTAGGTACTGAAGAGACAGCAACCAATCCGATATGCTGGGGAGACTTCCCAGTTAAGAGGCCCTTGGCCTTGGCCTGGGAAGATGAGTAAGAGTTTTCCAGAAGGAAAAAGCAGGGAAGGGCAGTCTGGCAGAGGACAGCATGCACACAGGTCAGAGGGTGATGGCACGAGCAATGGCGGGTCCAGTGTGGCCAGAGCCAGCAGTGCCACTGCCCACAAGGAAGGGGAGGGGAGGCCAGGACCCCCATGCCACAGGTGAGGCCACTGAGGCAGCTCTGGGAGTATGAGCTCCAATTTGAATTCCAAGCTCAGGAGAGTGCCTGTATTTCATTCCTCTGATCTCCTGGTCTGCTCTCTAGAAGGGGTCACATTCCCAGAGGGCTGGGGTATGTGCCCAGGGAGACACTGTGGTATGGACAGGCTCCGAGAGCTAAAGCAAAGAGAGGACAGCCTGGAAGCCCCATGACATCTGAGTCATTCCCAACATTCCATTTGCTTATTTTTAAATCGGAGTAAAATTTAAAATAAATAAATAAAAGAAGTTCTCCATTTGAGCCGTTTTTAACTGTATGGTTCAGTGGTATTAAGTATGCTTATGTGGTTGTGCAACTGTCACCACCATCCATCTCCTGACCCCTTTCATCCACTAAAACTGAAACGGAAACTCTGTGCCCGCCACTTCATTTGCTTTTCAGAACCTTCTAGAGCATCTACTCTTTGCCAAGAAATGTTGCAGATGTAGACTTTGAGAGATACAGATGATTATCATGCTCAGGGCCATGAACTATATGAGAGTGATATTTGTTGAGCCACTTCTATAACCAGGAAGTACTTTTCGTTATATTCAGTAACTCTTTTCAGAGGCAGAAACCCCTGACCCTGACTGGCAAAACCCATCTCTGCCAATCCCCAAGACCCATGATGTGCAGGGGTCTTGCGGGAAGACCAAGAGTTGGGACATCCAAGGAAAAGCAAGTGTGAAGTCAGGCCGGCAGGAAAGCATGTTCTGTGTCAGCCCGCACTGGGCGTGGGCCAGGGTGTGGGAGATGGGTAGATCTGGCTCGACTCCCATGGATTTCCCTGTTGTTTCTCCTGGGTGCTCAGACCTGTCATGCCTCTGCCATCACTTGACCCTAGGTGTGAGGGTTCATCCCAGAAATTTTATGCAACTGATTTATGATTTCTCAGGTTTTCTGAGTCCAGGCCTAGAGTGATTTCCAAAGAGAAACCTCCACCATTTCTGCTTGTCTTGCCTGCCTTGTATTTACCTTCCTAGGATGGCCTTTCCCACATTTAGTCAAGTCCGGGTTCAGGCCTACGTGCAGGCTACAGCTCCTCTGTTCCCCCACGACTCTCAGGATCTATTTGGAGTCTCCTTGCCCGGACTTCCAGACCCTGGGAAAACCAGACCAGCCCCTTGACCTCCACCCTCCTGCACAACCTGGGCCAGGTTCCTCTCCTCCCTGTCCTGAGTTAAATCTTAACCCTACTATATACCACAGGTGTAGCTTACTGAAACGTTGTAAAAATGGGGGTAAGGATTCATACTGGGTTGTTAAAAGGATAAAGTGCAAAAGCCTTGGGGACTTTGCACCTACTGTGTTCTATGCCTGAGTGTTCTTTGTCTTCCCTGTACACACAGCCCACCCACCCACTAAAACCATACCCTCCATGAGGGTAGAGATGTTACTTGCTTTGTTCACTGGGGTGTTCCTAGGACCTAGCACAGTGCCTGATGTCTAATAAGCACTCAGTTAATATTGGCTGGATGAAAAATGGATAATATAAATAAGCTGAATAACATGAAATAACTTTTTCAACCATTAAGAACTGTACAAACAATAATTACTCTCCCAGAGAGTGGCTCCCCTCCATTATGCTCCGTTAAAAGCCAATATTGGCCAGGCATGATGGCTTACATCTGTAATCGTAGCACTTTGGGAAGCTGAGATGAGAGGATTGCTTGAGCCCAGGAGTTTGAGACTAGCCTGGGAACCATAGTGAGACCCCATCTCTCTCTTTTTTTAAATTATTATACTTTAAGTTCTGGGGTACATGTGCACAACGTGCAGGTTTGTTACATATGTGTACATGTGCCATATTGGTGTGCTGCACCCATTAACTTGTCATTTACATTAGGTATATGTCCTAATGCTGTCCCTCCCACAGCCCCGCACCCCACCACAGGCCTCAGTGTGTGATATTCCCTTCCTGTGTCCTAGTGTTCTCATTGCTCAGTTCCCACCTATGAGTGAGAACATGCGGTGTTTGGTTTTCTGTCCTTGCGATAGTTTGCTCAGAATGATGTTTTTCAGCTTCATCCATGTCCCTACAAAGGACAAGAACTCATCCTTTTTTATGGCTGCATACGATTCCATGGTGTATATGTGCCACATCTTCCTAGTCTATCAATGATGGACATTTGGGTTGGTTCAAAATCTTTGCTATTGTGAATAGTGCCGCAAAACATACGTGTGCACATGTCTTTATAGCAGCGTGATTTGTAATCCTTTGGGTATATACCCAGAAATAGGATGGCTGGGTCAAATGATATTTCTAGTTCTAGATCCTTGAGGAATCACCACACTGTCTTCCACAATGGCTGAACTGGTTTATAGTCCCACCAACAGTGTAAAAGTGTTCCTATTTCTCCACATCCTCTCCAGCACCTGTTGTTTCCTGACTTTTTAATGATTACTATTCTAACTGGTGTGAAATGGTATCTCATTGTGGTTTTGATTTGCATTTATCTGATGGCCAGTGATGATGAGCATTTTTTCATGTGTCTGTTTGCTGCATAATTGTCTTCTTTTGAGAAGTGTCTGTTCATATCCTTTGCCCACTTTTTGAAGGGGTGGTTTGATTTTTTTCTCGTAAATTTGTTTAAGTTCTTTGTAGATTCTCGATATTAGCCCTTTTTCAGATGAGTAGATTGCACAAATTTTCTCCCATTCTCTAGGTTGCCTTTTCACTCTGATGGTAGTTTCTTTTGCTGTGCAGAAGCTTTTTAGTTTAGTTAGATCCTATTTGTCTCTACAAAAATATTTTTGAAACAGTCAGGTGTGGTGGCATGGGCCTGAATCCCAGCTACTCGGAAGGCTGCAGTGGGAGGCTTGCTTGAGCACAGGATGTTGAGGCTACAGTGAGCTATAATCGCACCACAGCACTCTAGCATGTGCAACAGAGAGAGACCTGTCTCAAATAAATAAATAAATAAATAAATAGGGGAAAAATGCACTGATAGTGTAATTGCCTCTGTCCCCAGGTGGGGGCTCCTCAAGGGCCCTCCCCAGGAAGTATTTCTCTGGATGACCTACCTGGGGCAGAGGAGCCAGAGTATGGAGGAGATGGCTGTGGTAGGGAGGGACTTAGTCCTGTGTCTTCCCCACCCAGTGCAGTCCCTAGAAGAATGCCTGCTGCACGGCCAACACCAGCCAGGAGCTGCACAAGGACACCTCCCGCCTCTACAACTTTAACTGGGACCACTGTGGTAAGATGGAGCCCGCCTGCAAGTGTCACTTTATCCAGGACACCTGTCTCTATGAGTGCTCACCCAACCTGGGGCCCTGGATCTGGCAGGTATGGGTGCCATTCCCATAAACATAAACTTCATAGCTGGGTGCAGTGGCTTATGCCTGTAATCCCAGCACTTTGGGAGGCCGAGACAGGTGGATTACCTGAGGTCAGGAGTTTGAGACCAGCCTAGCCAACATGACAAAACCCTGTCTCTACTAGAATACAAAAATTAGCCGGGTGTGGTGGTGGGTGCCTGTAATCCTAGCTACTTGGGAGGCTGAGGCAGGAGAATTGCTTGAACCTGGGAGGTGGAGGTTGTAGTGAACTGAGATCGTGCCACTGCACTCCAGCCTGGGCAGCAGAGCAAGACTCTGTCTCAGAAATAAAACAAACAAACAAACAAACAAAAACAAAACATTAACCTCAGCAGAGGGCAGAGCCTGCCAGCCACTTGCAGGGAGGGCTTGGTCCAGGAATTCAGGTCTGAGGGTGGTGGATGCTCTGCCCCCTCCCACAGCTCTGGTCCCCTTTGAGGATAAAGCTGCTGAGATATGTGGCTGACAGGAGCGTTCTGTCTCCTCCCCACTCAGGTCAACCAGAGCTGGCGCAAAGAGCGCATCCTGAATGTGCCCCTGTGCAAAGAGGACTGTGAGCGATGGTGGGAGGACTGTCGCACCTCCTACACCTGCAAAAGCAACTGGCACAAAGGTTGGAATTGGACCTCAGGTGAGGGCCGGGAGGAGACGAGATGAGGAGTGGGAGTGGGGCTTTAGGGTTGGGAGGGGTGCAGTCTGGCCCAGAAGCTCAGGGTCTTATGTTCTCCTCCCTCAGGGATTAATGAGTGTCCGGCCCGGGCCCTCTGCCGCACCTTTGAGTCCTACTTCCCCACTCCAGCCGCCCTTTGTGAAGGCCTCTGGAGCCACTCCTTCAAGGTCAGTAACTACAGTGGAGGGAGCGGCCGCTGCATCCAGATGTGGTTTGACTCAGCCCAGGTCAACGCCAATGAGGAGATGGCCAAGTTCTATGCTGCGACCATGAATGCTGGGGCCCCGTCCCGTGGGATTATTGGTTCCTGATCCAAGAAGGGTCCTCTGGGGTTCTTCCGACAACCTATTCTACTAGACAAATCCACATGTGTCTTGTGTCTTGTAATCTGGGGACGAGTGGGTTGGAGGGACACATTGCTTCATCTTTCCTACTGATAGGCCCTGAATCAGGCTGGAACTGGCTTGATGTTCACTGGGAAGCAGGGTGTGGAGGTTGAGCCAGAATCTAGGTATCCATCCCTTAATCTGGTTCTCCTGAGACCCTTCCCCTCACACCAAGCTCATTACTCCCACACTACACATGGACAAGGGCACAGGTGGAGGGGAGATGGGCAGAAACAGGAGATGAGTTATTGGGCTTCAGGTGAGGAAGACAGTTTATTTCCCCTTCCCTGACTAGATGTGGGCTGGGAGGAGATACTGGTTGGAGAGGAGGGTCTAATTGATAAACACCTGCCTTGTTTTTATTTGTTTGAGACTGAAGTCTTGCTATGTTGCCCAAGTTGCTCTTGAACTTCTGGGTCCAAGTGATCTTCATTCCTTGGCCTCGCAATGTGCTGGGATTATTGGGATAGGTCACTGTGCCTGACCTACTTTTTTTTTTTTTTTTTTTTTTTTTTTTTTTTTTTTTTTGAGACTGAGTCTTGCTCTGTCGCTCAGGCTGGAGTGCAGTGGCATGATCTTGACTCACTGCAGCCTCTGCCTCCCGTGTTCCAGCGATTCTCCTGCCTCAGCCTCCTGTGTAGCTGGGACTACAGGCGTATGCCACCAGGCCTGGCTAATTTTTGTATTTTTAGTAGAGACGGGGTTTCACCATGTTGGCCAGGCTGGTCTCGAACTCCTGACCTCAGGTGATCCACCTGCCTTGGCTTCCAAAAGTGCTGGGATTACAGGCATGAGCCACTGAGCCTGGACCTACTTTTTAATAAATGACAAGTAATGCTGCAATTAACAATCTTGTACCGGCTGTTACAAGATTGTAACACCGGGCACTGTGAGCTCAGTGGCTCACGACTGTAATCCCAGCACTTTGGGAGATCGAAGCAGGTGAATCACCTGAGGTCAGGGATTCAAGACTAGCCTGGCCAACATGGTGAAACCCCATCTCTACTAAAAATACAAAAATTAGCCGGGTGTGATGGCACATGCCTGTAATCCCAGCTACTCAGGAAGCTGAGGCAGAAGAATCACTTGAACACGGGAGGCAGAGGTTGCAGTCAGCTGGGATCACATCACTGCACTCCGGCCTGGGCTACAAGAGTGAAACTCCATCTCAAAACAATCAAACAAAAATCTTGGACCTAGTGGAATGCTATACTTGAATTCCAGAAAGGGCTATTGGGTCAAGAATATGTATAATTTTGATAGTTACAACTTTATGGAGATTTTATCAATGTGACTCTGCCACCAGCAAAGCATGAGAGTGCCTGTTTCTCTGCTGGGTGTGATGGCTCACACCTGTGATCCAGCACTTTGAGATGCTGCAGCAGGAGAATCTCTTGACCCCAGGAGTTCAAGATCAGCCTGGGCAACATGGTGAAACCCCATCTCTATAAAAAACTAAAAAAATCAGCTGGGCATGGTGGAGTGTGCCTGTAGTCCCAACTACCAGAGAAGCTGAGGTGAGAGAATCACTTGACCCCTGAGAGGTTGAGGCTACAATGAGCCGTGATTGTGCCACTACACTCCAGCTTGGGCAACAGAGTGAGACCTTGTCTCAAAAAACAAAAAACAAAACAAAACAAAAAACAGAGAGAGAGAGAGAGTGCTTGTTTTTCCACAACCTTGTCAACACAGTATGCCATCAAACTTTGGTTTTCTGCTTATCTTACAGGTGGGGAAAAGAGCATCTCAGTCAGTTTTCATCTGCCATTGTTCTGAGATCTTTCCATGTTGACCTATTGAGATCTTAAATTACTGGGTAATAATCCATTCTATGTGTACATCACATTGACTTCAGTCTACTGCTGATGGGCATCGGAAGGAATGGGGTTCTTTTATGATCTTGACATTGCTGAAAGCCACAGGCCAGTCATTTGGTAGAATACTCCTCCATTTGGGTTTGCCTGTTTCCTCATGATTCATTGAGGTTATGCATTTTGGGCACAAATACCTTACACAGTTATTCCGTGCATCATAACAGGAGGCATGTGGTGTGGGGTTTGCCCGTTCCTGGTGAGGTTAACTTTGATCTTTTGGTTGAGATTGTGTCTGCCAGGTTTCTCCACTACACTTTCCCCTTTTAAAGTAATAAATATGTTGTAGGAAGAGACTAGGGACGGTAGATACTCTATTCATCACCACACTTCCACCTACATGTTCCACTGTCTGATGGACCTTTTTTTAAAAAAGTAAAAACAAAACCGAACCATGTCTTACTACATTACAGCTCTTTCACCAACCCTTCAATGCTTTCCAGTGGTATCAACTGTAAAATCTAAACTTCTTCAAATTAGCACAGACCATGCCCCTCCTCTGAGCCCTGAAGCCAAATCTTCCCCACGCCACCCCATAAATGAGCTCCAGTCACACTTCTCATGTTGTGGGTCTTTGCTCCAGCAACTCCTCTGCGTTCCTGAAATGTTTTTCATTAATCCTCTGCAGGCTGACCTGTTGTGGCCACTTAGATGGTAACCTACAATTCCCCCCTAAAATGAGTTCCGAGCACTCAAACTCAAGAAGCCACCCAGCTGATTTCTCATCACACTATTCTGTGCCATTGTGTGGACTTTTGTCTACTGTGTTTGTTGTCTGCCTTTTCCCTAACAAAACATACTCTCCCCAAAGCAGGGCTGTGTCTGTGTCATTTTAAGCTACATCCCCAGGGTCTGGGTCAGTACCTGGCACCGAGAATGTGCTCAGTAAGTTAAGGAATCGCTGCATCCATTCTGTCAGTCAACAAGTCCTTCTGAGCATCCTGTCCACTGGCCCATGCTGGTCTCAGCTGACAGGAAGGGAACTGAGTTCCTTGCAAGGTCTGGCGGGGACAGACAGTTCTGAGAACCAGTGACTCTTAGAACAAGGAGACGAGGCTTTCACAGAGGGAAGCACAGAGTGTGGTGTTGTTCTGCTGAAGCCCAAAGAGGTCAGGGAAGGCTTCCAAAGGAATAATGTTTGCCAAGCACAAAACAGCACAGGGAATGGCATTCCATGGACAGGTCTCGGCAAGTGCAAAGGCTTAGAGGTAATAGAAGTGCAAGCAGAATTCCAGGGTGGCTGAGATAGGAGTTATGAGGGGAGTGGGCAGCAGTTAAGGCCAAAGAAGAAACACTGGATCTGCATTCCTTAGGACAGTGCCCTGTGGGCCCCTCACAAAGTTTCTCTCCTGCAACTGCTAGGTGCAAGAAGTCAGGCTTAGAATCAGACTGAGATCAGTAGTTCCTGCAGCTGGGAAGATGAGTGATGTGAGATTGCATGTGTGATAGGCTGGCACTCAGGGAAGAACTCAGGGTTCTCTCCTCCCCACTCCGAAGCTCTGAGACTCCACAAGTGGTGAGGACTTACCAGAGGAACTGAACTTGATCTCCAACCCAACCTTCCACTTGCTGGTATTATTCTGAAGCCCTCATGGCCCGGGGGCCTGGCTCAGGGGGCAGGTCTCACTCCTGCAGTGGAGGGGGCATAAAGTTCAGTTCATGATCAGCCCCCAGGCCAGGGGCAGCAGATGAGAGGGCAGGAGCTCCATCTAGAGGAGCTCCCATGTTCAGGTGTTCCTAGACACCTGCCTGCCCTTCTCCAATCAGCACTGGGGTATAAAGAAGGAAAGAGGCCTGAGAGTTCCAGAGGCCTCTACCTGCTGGGGTCTTCAGAGGACTCAACCCTCTGGGAAATACAAATACAATCCTCAGCCCTCCAAACAACTGAATGGACACCTCTTGGCCAAAGAGACCTCAGAAAAACTTTAAAATCTAAGTTTCCTGGCCATGATGATAAGTCACTCATACCTCAGTACACCTGCTTCCTCATGAACCGTTACCAGGCTTCTTTCCCAAGAGCTAAACAGAAACCAGCCTTGGAAAACCAAGAAAAGGAGACTCCTTCACTGATTTCAACTTCAACCAACTGCCAGACTCCTTTCCCTTTCCTGATTTTGACATGACAGCTGATCAACTTACAAAACATTCCTTGCTGATCAATGACTCTCGACCATGGACGAATTCTGGCTGGTTTACAGAGGCAGCACACAAAGTTCTTTGGGTCCTATGTTTCCCTTTTGACATATAGAGGCGAATTTGACTGCATTTTTTGGGGGAGAGGATGGAGTCTCACTCTGTTTCCCAGGCTGGAGTACAGTGGCATGATCTCCACTCTCTGCAACCTCCACCTCTTGGGTCCAAGCTATTCTCCTGCCTCAGCCTCCCAAGTAGCTGGGACTACAAGTGCCTATGCCTGGCTAATTTTTGTATTTTTAGTAGAGACAGGGTTTCACCATGTTGGCCAGGCTGATCTCGAACTCCTGACCTCAGATGATCCACCCACCTCAGCCTCCCGAAGTGCTGGGATTACAAGCATGAGCCACTGCGCCCGGTATCAACTCCATTTTAATGTCTCCACCCCAAAGGGAATATGGGACGTATGTAACATGTATGTTTGCTTAGTACATATGCGTGCAACTCTCATGAATATTCATAGCTTCTCCTAAAACCTATTAAATGTGTTTGTTTAGCCAACTCTTTTAGCATAAAACCCTGTTCTACCCTCACCCACTTCCCAGCCTGCACATCATAAGAAACAAAGCTCTCCTAGGATCACACCTGTAATCCCAGCACTTTGGGAGGCCAAGGCGGGTGGATCGCTTAAGTCCAGAATTTGAGACCAGCCTGGCCAACATGGTGAAACTCTGTCTCTACTAAATATACAAAAATTAGCAAAGCATAGTGGCAGGCACCTGTAATTCCTGCTACTCAGGAGTCTGAGGCATGAGAATCACTTGAACCCAGGAGGCAGAGGTTGCAGTTAGATCGTGCCACTGCACTCCAGCCTGGGCGATAGAGTGAAACTGTGTCTGAAAAGAAAAAAAAGAAAAGAAAGGAAGAAAGCTCTCCTTTCCAAATGTAAAGATCTTGTGATTTTAAGCCAATATAATTGAAG